AACACTGTCCCAGCTAAAACTGGAACAGTATGCTATTGGCAAAGTGTGTGGCTGCATCTGTCTTTTAGCTGGTTTTTCTGTAGCCAAAGGAATCAAAATACCTGCTGTATATCCTGCTGTGTATATGTTACAACTTATGTGCACCTCAGGATGATTCTTCCATAAGAAAATGTCTTTTTAAGAGGCTGTGTCTTCTAAAGCTATTGAAAGCATCTGTTTTGCTAATCCAGTTATACAGAAGAAACGCTAGAGTGGAAGTCCAGTGCCATATTAATTGGCCCATTGTGTACGTGCCTACTGAGGAAGTAATTTGTGAAACTTATCTGCTGTTTCCAAGCCACTCCCTTATTCAGATCAGTAGCTGCAGATGGAGTGGGACTGGGCTGCTACCAGCAGGAAAGGATGTCCTTCAGTTTCTGGGAGAGCTGCATGTTATTGCTGGCTCTGCACACTCTCTGAGCCTGAGCAACACAGGGTAGCACTTGTCCAGGGACTCAATTAAGGTTGCTTTTGGCATTAAGGTTGTATTACTTTTTAGCTCCTGCGTTTCTGACTACTTCTTGGCACACAGTTTATAACTTAGATTGAGATGTATAATGTAGACAAAAAACAGACTCAAGCTGTTTGACGCGTACCCGCTTATGAAGTATATTGGTTTTGACGTGTCAAAAACAAAGCTCAAGAGTGAGTGTTGTTTCTGTGAATGAAATCGCTTGTGTGTTGACTTTATTATTGTATATGGAAGCTCATTTTAAGCTAATATTTTTTAACTGTAATAGAAAAGTTCCCAGTAAGTCATGTGAATTCACTGGGAATGCCCAGAAAAGTACCGACTGAAAAAATGCTTCCGGGACTCATCAGGATTTTTCAAATGTTGCTGAAGTCTGCGTTTTAAGAACAGGGATATCACTTGTGAACTGTGTATGTGTGATTTTGAGGAGGTGAAAAACAGAACACAAGGAATATGTTACTAAACTAAATGAAATTTTGAAAGATTTCCTGAAGATATCTCTGGCTACTTTATGGGCTAAAGCATCAGTGTCCTTAGGTATCTTTTGTTCAACAGTCAACTTTCTGGTAATAGTTGTTTTCTGTCTCCCTCAATAGGTATCCTCAGCTCAAGGTATCAATGCTTATGGAAATACCTCAGTGGTGCAGATAGGTAATGTTTCAGGCTACATTGATACACCAGACCCACCAACGATTATCAGCTATTTGCCTGGACTTCTGTACAAATTTAGCTGTAGCTATCCACTGGAATACTTGGTTAACAATACCCAGCTTGCTTCGTAAGTGTGCTTTTAATTTCTGTTTCATTCCCATGTTTATATATGTCCATGTATATGTGTATATACGTATACACATCTAAATAGATGTACGCTATAGCAGTGCTGTCAGCACAGTGATTTTTAGCTGTGCAAGAGTTAAAGGGAAAGTAAAAAGCAAGGAAAGAAGAGATGATGCAAAGAAAAAGAGTTTTGTAACATCATCGTATGAGATAAAATAGTTTATGAAGAGAGCCTTAGATAATGTAAAACTTCCCTTAAAATCCACGTGTTCTGATGACAAAATGGTAGCAGCAAAAGAAGGGAAATCCTTCATTAAATAGTTTGTAAGCGTGTGAATATACAGTGCAAGAGAAAATATTTCAGTGACTAAACCTTGTACCTCATGAAAAGTGGGTTACTTTTTGTCGCTTTGCCTCTCTGCTAATTATTTTTCTGATTCATGTTTTTCAACAGTATCCACTACTTTCTCCATAGTTAAAGTTCCGTCAGTGTTTCCACTTATAAATTCCTATTTCTGAAGTTTATAACCCAAATGCATAAATTAACTCCTCATGACATCACTCAAGTTTTTTAATGATAAAAACCACCGAAGTATGTAAACACAAAAATAAGATATCGTTTTTCGTGATGGTTTTTGCTTTCCGGTTCTATTGTAGGTCATCGGCTGCTATTTCTGTAAGAGAGAACAATGGTACTTTTATCAGCACTTTGAATTTGTTGCTTTACAATGTGAGTATAAAACACCGTAGTATGACCTGAACTAAATCCACCTCTGCACTATGTGAGCGCAAACTGGATTAGCAGAGCAAAGTATGGACTCTTCTTCATTATTTGCTGTTCCCTTCCCAATCTTCCCATAAAGAACCAGGCCTTTCACCTGGACATCTTTCATCTCCGAGTTCCCTTGTCCTTTTCATTTGCATGTGCCTGTTGTCTTGTACTTATATGGCTGGTCTTTGAGAACACACAGAGTCTTTTTGTCCTGTGTTTATACAGTTCCTCAGTTTACAGCTCTGGCTTTCTGGTTGTGGTGCCATGTGAATAATCAGTTGTAGTAATAACAATAATACTACTCCAGAGTGCATACTACTGTTTGCATTTATTAAGTATATGCGCATGCACGTGTATTTCCATATATATGTATATGTGTATAGGTACATTGTACTGATACGGAGAGTACTCTAGAATTCTGTAAAAATATTCTAGACCTGTTCTACTAGCAACAAACTGTAGCACTCTTGCTGGGGTATTTTTATGTTTAAGCCTCATCAGAGAATTTTGATCATCTGTAATCATAGTGAGGGATATGGGATGTGTTCCAAGTCTATAGCCCACTGTACTTGTTGCCTCATTGTGTGGATTTTCAAGATCTTAAGGGTTAATTTTAACAGCTTTCAACTCACGCTTTTTCCATATGTTTTAGATAATTTAACTTAAATATGCATTATTGTATAAACTTTTACTGTGTAAATATGGATAGTGACAGTAAAATGTGAAAAATGCAAGGACCTCTGCTTAACAACATTAATCCCTGAAATGATGTTTTCGTGTTGATTAAAATTTTTATTCATACATTTTAAATACCTGATTTAAATATCAATTTTTCAATCTATCAAGCAACATTTTTGTAAATTATGAATCTGATTTTTTTGCATTATTATTCATGCCATCATGATGTTGAGTTATAATTCATGCAACTGATTTAAAAGTCAATGCTTTATGCTTTGAACATAATGAGCTATAAATATTGTAACAGGACATTTTCCAAAGGCATGCCTTAAAAAAAAATCATGTTTATTCGACAGAGCAGAGCTCCAAATAACAACTTATCTGTTAAAATGAAGATTATACTTCTCTCAATTTTAAATAAAGCTATGACCAAAAGGATGGGGCAGAGTGAGGGTAGCCAAAGTCCTCAGTCAGGACAAGCATTGATCACCACGTTTGCTGCCTGTCAGAGCCCAGTTCTGCACACAGTCAGGTATAAATGCTACTGATGCTTATACTGAGCACGTTTTTTTTCTCAAATACCACATGCTAAGCTGGGCTTTCATTCTCCCTATCCCAATGAGTTTGCAAGTCAACCATGCGCAGTGGTGTCTTATCCTTCTGATTTCAGTCGTGTTACTCCCTCTAGTGAGTAGCACTAGCATGAATAGTACTGCGAAGGCTGGCAGATTCAAGTGATGGATGCGCTCTTCTGATTCACATCCTGGAGCTGGGTGTGTACAGACTGCTTGTGCATTGCCTGCAGTCTGCCTGGTTGGGAGCACCTCTTGGGACCCTCTGGTCTTGGGAGCTCTGATCCTGTGGGCTCACTTGGTCCCTGTTAGAGAGTCCTGGTTTTGGGAGGGGCCTTGAGGCTTCTGCCCTTGGTATTGGTGAAGAGTTGTGTGCACATGTGCCTCTTGACTGCGAGCGGCCACACTTTCAAACTTCAGCTGTAGTGTTATTTCCTAATGTTGACTCTTCATCTTCTCAGCTTGCTTCCATCTTCCCTCACAAAGCGGTGTTTACTATGATTTTTACCTTTACTTTGTGGTGTCAGTGTTAGGAAAGACAAGAGGAGCCATTAGGATAGACTCAGAAAAATTTTAATAGCAAAATGTTTAATGTGCTTTCAGAGAGCCTAAGTGGCTATGTGCTTTTAGGCCTTCCTGTAAATGTCTGTCTAAATGAATAAAAACTACTCTTTAAGAAAAAATGAACAACTATGGAACGTAATAGTTAGGGACTTGCTGTAGACTTTTTAATCAGTTTGTAAAATGTGACAGAGCTATGTCTTAGAGAAATATAATTAATTCTAAAGAAGGCAGACTTACCTAATCTCACTTGAATGGATCTTCAAGGACTTGCTCTGTGTGTGTCACTGAGCTGGTCTGCGTGTGCGTGTGGACCTCCCAAGGCCTCCGATGCTGCAGAGATTGAATATTGGGTGTGCTGTGAATTTCAGGGGTGTTCCCTCTGGAAAAAATACATAATTTATGTGTTTAATCCTTCTTGTTGCTGTCAGCTGCTGCTCTTTGTCTTGCCTGCCACACTGAACCTTGTCAAAATTCTGTTTAACAAAATTTTTCTTACATGTTGAGTGTTTCAGCCTCTCACAATAGGTCTCAATATGCTGAGTCCCTGTGCTTTGTGGATTAGCAACCTATGTGACATAGGTGAGGTTACCAGTAAATCCATTTTGATGTGCCAAATCAACGTCTGTCACTCAGATCTATTTCGTGACATTGTTCGTGAAGTGACATTAATGGTTCAGCCTTTGAAGAAGAAATCAATAAAACAGTTATACATATGTATTAGTATGTGGGGAATTCCCAACTTTTGTATTATGTATAGCTTTCTTGAAACAGCATTTTTTACGTATTAGAATTTAAATTAAAATGTTTGTTACTTGAAGCCTTCAACAAGCCAACTTCCATAGAAACTACGTTTTGGGTAGCAGAATGTGTCTGTTCTCCCAGACTCCAGCTTAAGACATATAAAATCTAGTGGCACTGCTATTTGCACTAAATCAAGTAACCTTAACAGCCTTTCCTGGGAAAAGGTGCACTATGGCAACCCAGTTAAGCTTCTCCTTTAGAAAACCACAGTAGGTGCTATGTTTCCTTGTAGGTGCTGGGAGATGTACTGAGGTGTCAATGAATGATACCTTTTCTTTAATCACCGATCCAGCCACTCCATAAAATCACAGATTCCCCAAAATAGCTGCATGGATAAGGCCAGTCAAGTGTTGTTGATCTTTACAGACAAATGCTCTGGCACTGCTTTTTGCTTCTTCCCTTACAGAGGACAAAGTAAATGACTGTCCTACGTAGAAAGGTTAGAAAAATTAGATGGAAATTTAGTCTGTGGATGCAGATGAGTTGTTACAGTGGGATTTCTGGTACACTGAGGCAATGTTTGTTTTTCAGGATTCAACCTACAGCCAGCAGCTCCTTATTCCAAGTACAGGTTTACCTTTGAAAACCAAAATATATGCAGCTGTAAGAGCAACCAACCTTGATGGCAGGTACATAAAGAATGTTATTTCTTGTCTTGCTATTTGGCTCTTGGTGTTGCAAGTTTTTCTCATTCAGAAGCAACTGTTTTTCCTCATAGCCTTTTGTGTGTTAGAATAATGGTTGGTGTTTGATAATCACTGCCCCAGCTGGAGGGTATCAGGTCCTTGGTGGCAAATGCGTACCTTGTTACTGTCCCCATTATGGCAGTTTTCCGGAATTATACTTTAAATCCTATATTGCTGTTATTTAAGAAAGGGCCTCTGTATGATCAAGTGAGAAACTTCAGGGCTTTTAAGAGTGAGATGGTTTTGATTTCTAGTCCTATGTGGCCATGACTTCTGAAAGGAGGTATATAACGTGTGTTGGCATGGTGGTTGACTTGCATGAAACCAAATGATTTTATACAATTATGCTACTGTGCCATGCTGCTTAATTTTGTAAGTCATGGGAAGAAACAGGTGATTTATTGGGAATGCAGGGGCGCTTGTACATGACCTGTTAAATACAGTAACTGAGCTTCAGTGTAGCAGTCTGCATTATCAGTTTGTATACTTGCCTATACTGTCTTTTAATCTTATCTCACTACTCTTACATTGCCCATTCCTCTCATCTATCATTTTGCTCCCTGTGCAGGTGGAATGTTTTGATGGACTACTGTTACACCACGCCATCTGGTAATCCCAGTGATGATCTTCGATACGATCTTTTTTTCAGGTAGGTCCTGTGCAAACCCAGCACTTTGTGGGTCCTTCCTTTAAAAAACAGTTATAAATCTCTCCAGTAGTTGTGTTTTAAACTGCCTGGAAAGTCTAAGCACTATTAGCAGGGAGGACTAAGGGCTGGGCTTACAGATAACATGCCAGGACTATCTTGTTTGTGAACATAAACATAGAACGAAGTGCAAAGTCTTCAGAATTATGAAGGAAGACAAGCATATATCTAAATTGGCTCTACTAGAGATACCGTAAACACCTGAACTGAGTGGCTAAACTGGCCTTTGTTCTACCAAAAGTACCCTTGTGGTGAATGGCAGTGATAGAAAACATCACAGACTACAGTTCAGGAAAGTAGTTAAGCAAATGATTAAAGATAAATAGATGCTCCTCCTGCGACTCCCAGTAATAACATTTATTTGAATTGGAACTTTGAAAAATATCTTGGCAGTATCTCAGATTAAATTTTATCAGTGATGGTTGCTGAAGAGATACTGTCTTTGTTTGGAGTTACCTGTCTATACTGGTTAGCGTACCTGATTATTTTTTGCTTCAGGTCTCAAGTTTCTTTGGGCATTGGACTTAAAGGATACTTTGGTTATCGCTGCGATGTTGCAAAACAAAACATAATGTTTTTGTAGGAATGCATTTCAGCACAGGACTGTGCCTAACAGGCAGACTGTGGCTGCCCATGTTGGACGTTAGGGTGCTCTGCTCTTTTCCAAGGAGCTAAATAGTGAACTTGCTGCTTCAGTTACCTTATTCTGAGCTAAGAGCTTCAAAATGCTAATCATACAGCTGCTCATCCTAGTTTTAATTTTCTCTACAAAAACTAGCTGTGACAAGGACCCACAGACAACTATAATTGAAAATGGCAAGAGCCAAATGGGCCGGTTTTCTTTTGAGGTGTTTCGCTTTGTGAAGCACAAGAACCAGAAGATGTCTACGGTCTTCCTTCACTGCGTGACAAAGCTGTGCAGAGCAGATGACTGTCCCTTTCTTGTGCCAGTAAGTTTCAGTGGGCGGAAGTTACTGTTAATTATCTGGATGTAAAATAGGCACACTGCATCCAAATGCTATGGAAATTTGGATGGCACAGAATGAAGCTGACTTGTAGAGTCTCAAGTAAGAATGTTTTTTATGTCTGAAGGAATGTAAAACAACTGATGAAGAATAGGGCAATGAATATTGTCACCTGGAGAGAGAATAATACTAGACCTGCAAAGCACAGATTGTTGAACGTGTAAGAAATGACCTCTTCGCCTTTTGGACCTTAATTCATTTTTAACAGTAATAACTCTGAGACAGCTTCAAAGCTGATATTCTTAGTATAGCATCTAAGAAAAAAGGTATCAACAGTCACAGTGGATGAATATAAATATCTTAGAATAGAATTTATGGAAAAATTAAAGCTATAGTAAGTGCAGTTATAGCGACAAGGGAAACGTGAAAGAGTGATAGTGAAAAAAACCCAATGTACTATATCTCTTATAATGTATTACTGCCTGCTTTATGGTTTGGAAGATGCTGTTTTGAAGTTCATGAAGTTGTGACAATTCAAAAATTATTTCATTTTAGGCATGTTAAGAACAACAAATATAGGAAATTGAAACATTTAAATAAACATATAAACACAGAATGTTCTGTGTTGATATCTTCAGAATGCAGGATCCTTTCCTATTGAATGACTTTCCATTAGAATTTTAAAATGCTATCAGTTCAGTATACTTCTGACATGTTGTACATTGTTTCGTATTTTTATGTTACAATTTTAAATAATTCATTCTTTCTATTTATGTATTTATGTTCTGAGGTTTTTGAAGTTCTTTTACAAGAAGTTGAAATTAAAGAAAGGCTCTTGGTTGAAGCATACTTGAGTAGCCAAGATTGAGGGAGATGATAAGTTAGATGTTAAAGGTGGATTCGAGATGACAGAGTGCTGGGAGTTGTTTTAACGTGGGTCATTGCTATTTAGAACTCCATGGAAAATGTGCGAACTTTAACTTGAGAAGCTTGCTAGAATAGGGATTGTAGCATGTTGTCTATCCCTAGTCATGCAAAACACATTTGTTGGGGAAAAACTGTCTGTAAACAAAGCTTTGGGAAATTAACTACTGAAAATTTAATATCCTATAAGATGGATCTTGTACACAACAGCAGTGTAGTTCTGTAGACGAAGTGAGGCAAAATACAACAGGAAGCCAAGCATTTATAAGATACACTTCTAGCGAATATTGCAGATGTTTTTATTGTGAAGTAATTTAATGCATACTAAGAAATAAAATCAAAGTTGTAGATTGCTTATAAAAGAGTTTACATTAAAGCAGGAAACACAGAAGGGCAATAATTCCATTCCACTCTGAAGCTGTGATTGTTTTGATTAACCGCTCAGATTTGCAGTAACAGAGAAAGAAGAGATGCTGGTGGGAGGACAACTTGGAGCCCTCAGAGTGCCTCTGGCAATGCTGTAATCTCTGCTGGCCCCATCATTACAAGGAGCGGTAGGAATGAGCAACTTTTTTCTCTGGACTGATGGAATTTCAGAAGCCTGGGGAAATGTTTTGCAGTTTAATGTAAATTTGCAGTGACTTAGAGAAAGGGTGGATCCTCCATGAATTTGGGTATTTTTTCCCATACTGTTGGAGTCTTTGGCAAAACTTTTGAGCTAATGTTTTTGTTCGGCTCACATGCTTCCTCCCTACTCCAGTGGGAGGAAGTTATCACTGTGGTATACTGTAATGCATATAAGGCCATTATAAAAGCCCACACTCAGTGGGTTGACTTCATTTTTTTGTTTAATTTCACTGAAGATACTGGAATTTAAGGTGCTGTGTTCAGTGTTGCAGTTTAATTTGGACAGCTAATGAATATTCACTGTCACTTTCTATTCACCATTTCTTCCAGCTTCACCTATGGGTTTTTATCTAAGTGTTACATAAAATTAATACATGCTATGCTTAGCCTTCAGCTGTAGGAAAGAACTAGGACAAACACATTGTAAATTCTAAACTGTGGACCAAAATCTGCTCTTTTAAATCCAAGGTGAAACTCCATGATTTCCATTTTTGTTGCCAAAGCGTGGTTTGGTTTTTGGTTTGTTGTGGTTTTGTTTGTTTGTTGTGTTTTGTTTGGTTTTTTTTTTTAAAAAAAGCTCTAAATGAAACCTGCAATCTCTGAAAAGAATTTATGTGGCTGGCTGTTGACAAAATAATAAAAATAAAATATTTGAAAAATGTTTAAGAAAATCCATGTACAGATATTTGTAAGAAGCTGCTGTTAAGCAACTGATTTCAGCAGTCTTAGATTTAGGAAGCAGAGAGCAGGACTGAATCCTGTCCAGGAAAAATAATTGAAAGAGAATAAAATCCTTTTTTATGTGCAAAGTGATTATGCCTGCACATACAAAAAGGACAGCTGACCCTCCGGAATAGGGAACCATCTAGCAATAGACCATTTTTAGAACAAATACTCTGTTGTATGCAACACTTCTGCTATGAAAATGAGTATTTTTTTTTTCACATTGTACATAGTCTCAATTGAGTTGCTCCTGTCTGATTAGTCAAGAAAAAGTGAAAAGAACTAACTTCAAAGTTGCATGCGTAAGTGCTTATGGGAAACGAATGACAGATTTGCTCAAACATGTATGCTAGCGAAATGCTGCCTTAGGCAGGGAATGGAAACTAGATAAAACTTGTTATATGAGCAACCCCTATTAGGTAATATAGTTTGTTTCAAATGCTGTGAATGCCATTTTTACAATTAATCCCAACAAACTCATTACCTTTAAATACTGCATAACTTCAAGCAAACAAAGATCTGTCCATGGATGTTTAATGACCGCAAAGAAAGGATAAATTATTTTATAATTTCTTGACAACTCTTGAGGTTCTGTTTTAAAATGAAAACATGAATAAGGCTGGAAAAGGAAAATAATAAATTTTTAGGTGTCTTCTACTTGAGATATGTGGATAAAGCTTTTTAGATTAGACATATTTCTACATCTCCATAGTCCGCTTTTGGAGCATCCCACTGCTGCTGACAGAAGGATGATTTGGTGGAAAGTACTCTGAGAAAAATGGAATTCAGTTCTGAACTCTGCCACGAATTTCCTGAGTGGCAATGAGCAAGTTACTTCATCTGACTTGCACCTTGCTTTTCCTTCTGGAGCAGAAAGAGGGAATTAATATTTCCTTCCACTGTCCCTTCCCATTGTGAAAATAAGTGCATTAAAAATGTGAGGTTCATGAACACTATAGTCAAGGAATCAAAAAGGGGAAGGTTGTGAGAGAATTTGAAGAGAAGTATCTGTTTTTGAGTGCTGTGGTGCAGTGCTGGGTTACTCTGGTGCGGTGCTGCCTGGAGGCACTTACACTGTTTTCAAGGCCAACTCCGGTCTGACTTCAGTACAGATACATTTGTACAGAGCCCATCAAACCTGCTGCACCTGATTCCCCTTGAGTTAGCCAGGTCTCCCTGTCATTCTGCTCACCAGCTGTTCTGGAAACAGAGCTGGTTATGCAGTTACCTTCATAGGAGCTGAATGGTGCTACTGCAAATGAGTAATGGTCCTTCTCCTGTGTGCTTCTGAACTCTTATTTCTAACATTTTGTTCTTTTTAGAGAAACTTTATTCTTTGTCAATCTAAAACAAATCATTACAGGAGACATACACAGAAGAAAATGTTTTAGTCTCTGTGTATAAAACCAAAGCAAGTACCTACTTTTGAAGGTGAAATTGTGTAGCTTTTGATGGATGTCTCACTTAAACTTAGAAGACAGCTGCTCAAAACAAACGTATACGTGAGCTGTGCTTATAAATTGTCACAGTTTTTGCTTTTTTTTGGTGCAAGAAATGTAGTTCTGAGATGGACAATGGTCAAAGTAAAAACTGAAGAGAAAATACTAACGTTTCATTGAATATAAGGCCACTGTATAACTGTCAAAAGAAAAGTGACCATGGGAAAAGGGCATTTTTATAATCGTTTATGGTCACTGATGTATTTTTCCTTGAAAAAATCAGGTTAATTTTTTTCCTATATAGATCTTCCTGTGATATGATTAACAGTGAAGGGGCTTGCGTATAATACTGTGCTTATGGTTGTATTTTTTTTGAGGGACAGAATAGAACTGGCTGTATTTTCAATTAAGAGGTTCCTGCACTAAGGTGTGGGTTTTTTGGTTGTTTTTTTTTGCCACAGAATACTAAGTAACTTCATATCGGTGTACTCACATTAAAAATGAAGTAATGTCATGTAATTAATGTTGTTGTCATTATTCTGCCAGATGTTAAAATGTTGCAGGTATAACTGATGTGCTTTGAAAATAAAGCTAGGACTCTTGGCTTTTGTGTTACAAGGAGGGGAGGAGGTAGGCAGAGGTATTTGTAGAATATAATGCATCCCGCTTTTGTTTTATACAGATGAGACGCCAACGAACAATTCACAGCTTGGTAAGTTAATCAGAATTCCCAGAAACATAAAAGAGGGTTTGAGCAAAACAGAACTGAGGAGATGAACCGTTTCAATTGAGATCTATGCACTGAGCTGGAATGTTTTTTTCTTTTTGTCTTGTTTTTGTCATTTAAGTGAGTCAATACTGACATGCTATAAATAAAGCAGTGGGTAGTATGGAATGTTCAGTTTAATTTGTGTACCTAGCCCCACTAACATAGCAACTTCTAATTCCCATGATGCAATTGAAATGAAAATCTGCTGATATGACATGTGAGGCTGAGGGAACATTGCAATTGCTAGATGCAAAATCAGACTTTAGCAGTAATATCTGCTCATGCCATGCAGGAGGAGAGTAGCAAAATGGTTATTCTTGTGCAGTCCAGCTCAATTCACAGCTCAAAGTCAGGAGAGCTCTGCTTCAGCTCCTGTTCTCCTGGCATTTAACCACACAAAGAGAGCCTAAGTAGAAGCTGGGATAGAACTTGTGGTCTGCTAGGGCAGCGAAGGAAAATGGACTGCAGGGGAGATCAAATCTCTTAAGTTTTAGGGTGCTTCTCCTTTGGGTAGTTGGAGGACTTGTTTCAGCCTATCTGTTACTGTTCTCTGCTGGTAACAAGGAGTAGCTAATGACTAAGAAGGGATGGTCAAGGTAACCAGCTGATCCTTTGGACCATTCTACCTCTTGTTCATAACAGGACTGAGTGGCACAAGCAACCTATCCTGTCCTCTGAACTCTAAAGCTATTTGTTCCCTTCTTTTCTTAACTTAGACTGCATAAAAAGCAGGTACCTTTATTTTCTGGCATGGAAACAAAGTTCTCGCTGTAATAAATTGCTCCCTGGTGTGTTGCAATGTCATTAAAATAATAATAAAAATAATGGAAAGAAATTTCTCCATTTGCTGCACACAGCTTGCTGTGTTAATGGCTGCTACCTTTCCTTCCCACCCAATGAAAGCAGCAGCCCTCTCTTTCCATCCCAGAACAACAGCCTTTCCTGTGCCCGTTGCTGTCCCAGTGGACAGCGTAGAGGTAGAGCAAGGCGGGATTACTACTGTAGTGGAGAGAAGACAAGTAAGGTCAGAAGGCAGCATGCCGTTGAGAAGGAGAGGGCAACCTGATTAACAGAGCTGACTTTTTCAGTTTTGGTGAGGAAGGAGGGATTGATAATGTTGAGGGCAGGTGGCTGCTTCTGGGAGGAGCAGTCTGGTTTCCCACGCAGAAACTGTGTTGTCATTTCACCCCACTCTCCAGCACTGGTAAGGGTAAACACAGCTTTTAGGCAAACATACATTTGTGCTTTGAGTAGCACCTACCACTCAAATGTGGGTGTTTTTCCCCTCCTGCTGGAAAAGATGGTACAGGCTGGATGTGTGTGTTCCAGTATCTAGGGATTGTTCTATGAATAGCCTGTTGAGCTACACTAAATAGTAAATATGTTACCTCTTCTACCTGAGAATTGATAAATGTGTAAAGAAGCCTTCTGTGGAGATGTCCAGACAAGCTTAGAGTAGCTCAAATATCTGGTGCCAGATATGCCTGCTAAGGATTTATACACACTTTCAGATGTGGATAATGATATCAGGGAAGAAATCCTTTCATTAACTTGATTAAGCCACAGATCCTTATACCTCTGCCTTGATAGTTCTGAACAATGACAGCCTTGCCTTACATAGCACAGGTCAAGGTTGGTCACTAGCATATGAGGGATTATGCCTTTGAAGTATCCTTACTGTCTTTATTCCACAGAGTGATGGATATTGAAAGAACTAGTAACTAGTTTTGAAGTCTATTTAGATAAGCTTTATCCGAGTTCCTGGGTGCTCATTCTGAAGTACGATTTCAGTTTCTTCATTGCAATTATTCTGTATGTAGGATGTCGTAATGGAAAGACAGAAGTGTTTGGCACTGCTGACAGATTGTAACCAGATCTTATATGTGCTTTTTTGTTCTCCTTGCAGCTCATCCAAACGGACCTCCTTTCCAGCTGAACTCAGTCACCAGTGCACTGATTTCAGGCATTGTCGTCCTAGGAATAACAAGCATTTTGTTTTTTGTATGTTCCCTAACTCTTCTGCACAGAAAGTGGCCCAACAGCTCAGTCTTGAGTGGCATCCAAAACCCAATTTTCAACTGAAAGTGATGATTTACTTGCACTTTTTCTTTAGGGTTGCCGTTCTTGTTCATGAAATATGATTCCATTAAAAAATAATATTAAGGCAACACTCCAGCTGTATCCAACTTCTATTCCAGCTATTCTGTATTTATAGATTTGCTAGATCTTTTTGTGTAGGTAAGCAGCAGTGATATTGGTAATAATCTTAGAAAATTATGAGAATCTCAGTTGTGTTTGTGATCAGACTGTATGACATTATGCCCATGGGTGTGCTGACAATAGAGCTTGTGTCTCCAGCTTCCCGGTGAGGTCTCAAAGCTGAAGATGCTGAAGGTGAGAACCTTTCCAAGTATGCCATTCTTACACAAAACCTGACACACTCAGAAACATTCATAAGTTCATAAACACTTACTAAGATAAGGATCACTTCTATTTTGTCATGGTATTTTTCACAAATTTGAGAAAACAATTGTGTCTCAGGAAGAAGTTGTTTTCATCTATCTTGGCTAAAAATAACCCCACAGAGACTTAGAATAAGATGAGTTTTGCTTATTATCCATTTGGAAATGTTTTCTTAAATCTATCTTCCAGGGAATCATGGTGGTATCATGTGAAGGACACAATTTGACTGGGTATCTTTCAGTGAAATAGCTTAGGGCAAACTGCAGTTGATCCCAGGGAACAATGCTTCAGTTCTTGAGGTGGAAAAAAATCTTTTTCCAGCAAGATCATTGAGTAAGAATCAGTGAGAACTTTAAATCTAACTAATGTTCAGCAGAAAGTTAATTCTGCATGGAATAGCTGCCATCTGTAGCCTTCAGTCAAGGTCTAACCCCAGAAACAGCTCCAAGGGGAAACGTATTCCTTTCCCCCCTGACTCTTTGAACAGGCAAGCTAATACAAGCAAATAATGCCCAAACTCATCCAAAATTATTTTTGGAGCACAATTTGACTGTTGAGTAAAACTCTCATTAACACCGTAATTTGTAAGGGCCAGTTTTGCCCCATGAGTTTTGCAGTTCTCAGATAAGGCTTTCCTTTCTACACAAAGAGTTGTAAATCACGCTTGTTTCTGTAGATTTTTTGCATGGATTAGACTTCTTTACTGCATGGATGAGGGGAAGAGGGAAACTAGAAGGATAACAGGCCACAAGCAGTTCTGTACTGTTGACTCTAGTTAATCTTATCAGACTTACCTGGAGTGAGTGAGAGTGACCAGATGCCCTCAAACAGAAGCACAGGGCAGTGGCAAAGCTGTGTAGAATAGACAAAAATTTCTGATAGTAGAGAGGCCACCATAGACACAACATGTATTAAGCTGAACTGGATAGACAGTTGGGATTTTGGTCACACATACAGCAGTCAAATTTCATTTTTCATGTACTGTACATATTGGCCTAGAAACACCTCAATGATATTTATCATCATCCTGTGTTAACTGTGTCTGTTTTCACTGATGTGACACAACTGGCTAAAGATCAGGGCTTTCTGGCTCTGAAGACTAAAGACAGATACAGATTTGTTCTGGGTTTTCTCTGATCCTACAAATGCTGTGTAAAGGCCTGTTTTTTGCAAAGTCCACTGTGCTGTAGTGTGGTATCCCTAACAAACAATACTGTGCCTGTTTCCCTCCGGTCTTAATACCTCAGAAACATTTTTGCACTTCAGGGGTTAGGTCTGATGACGTGTAAAACATGATTGTTTAATAAAATTATTTGAAACATTTCGAAACGGATGCTTTGTCTGATCTGTTTTCCCTCTCCCTGTCAAATGATTACAGTTTTGTATGTGCTTTCAGTGACCTTATTCTACGAAGATGAAAACTGGTCATGCTTTTTAAAGTTGGTTTGGTAAGAGCTTTCAGTATATAGGATAAATTAATGTAAGTATAGATTTACTGGCCTTTAAAGGAGGGTGATAAACTCTGGAGATTTATATTCCAGTCTGGGGATAAATAAATTCAGATAATCTATTTTAATTTACTCATAAAGACAACTACAGAAATTCCATTAATGTAATTACTACTTCATAGCCAGCAGCTGTAGCTGAAGGTTTCCAGTGATGGAGATAGCCATTGCCATCCTCAGTAAGTTGTTCCAACAGTTAATTGCTGTCTTTAGTACTTTTTAAAAGACTACTTCTAATGTGAATGTGCCCAGCTTAACTTGCCAGACATTAGAAACTGTTGTGCCTTTGTCTGCTAGACTGAGAGACCCTTTTTCTAACACAAATCTCACATAATTTGGTTAAAACCACAGGAAAAAAGAGTGAATGGTGGGAGGGAACAACACAAAAAAACCCAAAACAAAACAAAAAACAAAACCAAAAGCTGCTGATATAATATCAAGCTTGTCCGATCTCCATTTCTTTGTATTTCTGGAAAGGCAGTTTGTTGCTTTCGTATGAAGAAAAATAATTTACAGTAATTAACAAAGACTTGTTAACCAAACTTTTTGAGGCTTGGGTAGCCTTTTACAAAAATGGAGTTGTTACTAATAATGTAATTGCAAAATATTTTTCTTTTGTTAGTTAAACTTTCTGGAGTGGCTTGTTTTTTGAAGAACCAGATAAGATGATATTCATAGAATCATAGAATGGTTAGGGCTGGAAGGGACCTTCAAAGGTCATCTAGTCCAACCCCCCTGCAAGGAACAGGGATATCTCCAACTAAATCAGGTTGCTCAGGGCCTCGTCCAACCTGGCCTTGAACGTCTCCAGGGATGGAGCATCCACCACCTCTCTGGGCAACCTGTTCCAGTGTTCTACAACTCTCATGGTAAAAAATTTTTTCCTAATATCCAATCTGAATCTGCCTCCCTGTATTTTAAAACCATTACCCCTTGTCCTATCACAACAGGCCCTCCTGAACAGCCTCTCCCCATCTTTCTTGTAGGCCCCCTTGAGGTACTGGAAGACCGCTATAAGGTCACCCCGGAGCCTCCTCTTCTCCAGGCTGAACAGCCCCAACTCTTTCAGCCTGTCCTCATAGGAAAGGTGCTCCAGCCCTCTTATCTTCGTGGCCCTCCTCTGGACCCTCTCCAACTGGTCTATGTCCTTATGTTGGGGGCTCCAGAACTGGACGCAGTACTCCAGGTGAGGTCTCACGAGGGCATATTCTTTGTGTAACTTTTCTTCCCGTGAAAATTTTTGAGCGCCAGAGGGTGATCCCACACCAGTTAAGTTAGTGAACAGAGCGCCCTCAGTTATCTGTAGGATTCATTACTGAGCTCGCTATGGATTTGAATGTATTTGTCTCCATTGTTCATTAAGTGAGGTTAATACCTCTTCCTGCTTGATAAAGGGACACAGTCACAGGTGGAAAATGATGTCTAAAACCAGGCTTATTCGTTTGCAGATCTGCCATGGGAATGCTTTATGAATGATTTTTAGGGGAGGTGAAAACTTGAACCAGGCTGCCCAAATGTTTCTAGCAGAGAGAGGACTGACTGTATTTGTATAAAGCATCCCCTTCCTGGTTTATCTGAAAAAAGTATACAGGTATTTAGGAACACGTGGAAGCCATAACTCGTGACCTCATAAGTTTCGACAAACAGGTTGGGTAAAAGTTGGGAGAATGTGCATGAAGGTTGCATCCTGCTTTTTGAAGGGCAGGATGGTTAGGTGAGAGGGAAGGAGGAATGAATTGAAAACCTAAATTACATACAGTGAGCAGGGACTTTTGGCACTCGAGATACCGAGTTGTAAATGGAGCAGTGAATTAAGACACTTTGTATTTTGGATGAAGGAACTCTGGCCAGATACATAATGGGGGTCTCACAAGTGTTAAGTGAAACTGAATTACTAAAAGAATAGTGGCTCTGCTAATGAAATCACTTCTATTAGGGGTGCCTGGTACATGTGTTTAAATGCTCTTTCTGCACAGAAGTCAGGTTTCTGCAGGTAAGCACAGTGTACTGAAATATTCTTATGTTTGTGACCCAGATTGGGGGGGCAGACAGGAAAGAAATTGAGCAAGACTTTAAGCTTAAGTCTAAATCCAGTAGAATTTAATAAATCTGTAAAGAGGAGAAATCGCTTCCTAGGTTCCTGTCTTTGGAAGCAATAAACGACGTATCCATCTGGAGCTGTGCGCACCAGTGCTTGGGATAAATTCGGCTGATATTTGAGAAATAGACCTTGGCAAGGCAACCTGGAAGTAAATAACATTTCCCACTTCATTCAGCAGGCAGTATTTCTTATTCTTGATATCTCTTAGGCTCCACAAATATGTCAGAAGCAGCGACTTGCCTTGTTAAGCTACTCATCTTTTCATCTGGAAGAGACATAGGCAGGAATATTATGATAAACTAGGAAATATTCCAAGTGTGGCAAACTGGTCCTTCCTCAGGTTACTCCCAGGTTTCATTTCAGTGCCGCTTGGGCCTTCCCCATGTCTTTCAGGAAGAAAGGTAGGATGGAGGTAGAAGAGACAGCCGGGAGTAGCTCTGCACAGTCATCAGTGGGCGGACTGGCTTTGATACACTGGCAGTTTCAGGATTGTGTCACAGCTCTTTTGCCATAATGTCTCTTTTGATAAGTTCTTATAACTTTTCTGTCATTTGCTAGTTAATTAACTCTTTCCTAGTCTTTCAAAGAATACTTTTGTACAATTAGGAAGCAGATCCTTGAGACAGTGAAGTGGAAAATGTAAGGCAGAAAAGTTGTTCATTTGTGTGACTTAACTTATGAAGAAGTTATATTAATTACTGTTGGTGAGCTGAGGAGGGTTGCTGGCCAGCCAGGTTTCAAATGCTGATAATTGCGTTTGTAACCTCTGCTTTTGGACTTCGTGGTGTAGTGTGAAAAGTGCTATGTGCTAAAGCAGGATCCACACCGGTCCTTGTAAGCAAGAAATGCCACTTAGCAATAGCTTGAATGTTTTCAAGTTCACTTGCAATCCTCTGCTAAACTCTTAGTGCTTTGGACCGCTAAGGTGGTGGTTTTTATAGATGTATGGTCTCCTAGCCTGAGCAGACAACACGTTCTCCATTTACATCCTGAACTGGCTTGCTTAACTTTAG